CTACGTAGAACCCTTTTGCTTATCAATCATTCAAAACTCAAGTGTGCAAGGCTTTCGGTTACAGAACACGGAGATAAAATTACTCGCATATGCTGACGATGTGGCAGTACTCTGCCGAGATAGACAAAGTATATGTGAAGTCGTTTACATGGCAAATAAATTTTGTGACATGACGGGCAGTGTAATTAACTGGCATAAAACAACTGCCTTTTGGTACGGCAATTGGGATGTGAGACCCGAGGTATACCTTAACGTAAAATGGGAAAGCAAACCCCTAAAGTACCTCGGTGTATCCTTGGACAGCTATCGCGACAACGCGGATTACTGGAAAGGTGAAGCAGAAATCCTCAGGAAAAAAAACAAATGCCTGGGGTGGTAGGGATCTGTCTATATTCGCACGTGCGACTGTATGCAACATGTTTTTGATATCCAAGATCTGGTATGTCATGCAAGTCATCTGTATGTCACGCGTCAATGTGCAGAAGCTTCACAGGATTTTTGCAGTGTTTGTGTGTAAATCGCCGTGGGAATGTACAAGCCGGTCTAATTTATTCCAGTTCGTTAGCAATGGCGGACTCGGCTTATGTCATATATTTATTATACAAGTTGTCTCTCGGTTTATTTTCCTTCGCGATCAAAGAAACAAAATTTCCGCGAACAGTGATAAAAGTAAGGCTGTCATCACGCATCCCAGATTTTGTTGTGTCTACAAACAGTGATATGTGCCGATATGTGACTGGTTTTTTTTTTGAGAGAAGTTATACAGTCTTTCGAGTTTTTGAAAGTGCGCTTTTCGCTGGAATATCTTGCCACTGTTAAGCGAAAAAATCTGTACAGGGATCTCCGTGATGTCTTGTTCCCCCAAACCTTTGTACAGATCTATGTTCAATGGAGGACCCGGACAGGACGTTTTGAAAAGGGTCAAAAGGATGAAAGTAAAAGCAGGGGCAAAAACTTTCTTTTTTAAATTGCATTCCGGGACTCTCCCCGTAAAGCAGTGGCTAGCGGACAAGAGAATCGATGTACCATGGACAACCAATTGTTTACTTTGTAAACAAATGTTTCTTGAGTCTCACGTATTGCATGTTTATTCGAAAACTCGTTTAATTAGAACATTTTTCACACTCCCAGTGACTTTGAAAAAAAAACATGCATTACACAATAATATAATTATCTTGTGCACAGCGGGCGTTTTTTCTTTAACACGCGATAACGTTGAAGAGCTCGTTTCACAGAAATGTCAGCGTCGTCATCGTTGGCATTGAGCGAAAGATCGTCATCTTGTGCGTAACCCAAAATGCTAAAAAGCTGCTAACAAAAATAAAATAAATATTAAGAATTTCTTGGTCTGAGTGGGGGGCAAGCGGGTGTTCTATAGCAGAGCCACACGTCTACTCGTAAATACGATGAAAAGAACTTCGCCTGCTTGGATATTCAGTGAAAGTAACGCATGATTTTCAAACGCTCGCGTCCTGTATACATGCTTCACAATGCAACGTGTAATGTAGCAGTAATTATGCGGGATTCAAGCGTACATTGTCATCGGGCGTCAGAACATGCGATTATCATGAATTCATGCTTTAAAATGTGCCATCCACTACAAAAGGCGCACACGTTATGGCGCATTTCGCCTTGATGCCACGTAGTGCACTGGTGCATGGCGAGTTAGAAAAGTTTTCATGCGCACAATTGTCCGTGGTTTCATGCATGCTACCCATTACACAGAATGCAGCCGCATGCAAAAGCTTCAGTGACACAAGCCATTTTGAACTCATTTACGCACTATGGACGGAATATCGCTATAGCGTTCAACTCTTAAAACGTAGCTTAAGGATCCTCTATTTTTTTATAATCTGATGTATACACAAACTAAAACTAACCCAAAGCTTAACTTAAACCGAAACCACCTGCGATATATTTTTTAACATTTCATGTCAACTCGCTCTTCGTGTGCAGAATGTCGTTACGATCAACGATGCCACACGCACGTGCTGCATGCCGCGTGCACGCCATGAATTCCAAGAAACAACCCCTTATTCTTCTCTCTGGGCCCTTCCGGCCTCCATAGTGACGTGCGTGGCGTCACGAAGTTCCAATTAATCTTTTGTGTGAAGCGCAAGTTATGCTGTCATTGGTCGAGCAAGAACCTACGACTTTCGGTACGTCTTCAAGTAGTTGCCAGAACTTGTTGTTCATCGTGTTGTGGTGGCCGGGGCTCCTCATCTTGTGTGGGGGTGCTCAGGCAGATACATCGTGTGGGCGATTCTTTGAAGGCGTGCCCGCAAGACAGGGTTCATACCGGCATGATTTGTATGAGCACGGGCCGGATTGGCAACAGCGTGTAATCCCTAGACACTATGTGCGATTCAGCATCCTATCGAACGTGCGACGCCGCATACGGCATACGATGGTTCAGTCGGGACACACGGGGTGAAAGAGAAATCAGCGTGCCCCACGCCCACGTATGGCAGGCACCTTGGCCTGTGCGCTCGGACCTTTGGACAACATCGTATCCTCTAGTTTACGGTGCGGCCGCTAAACTCGGTAGTTTGTGAAAAACGCATTCAATTTATTCTTTCCCGGAAGTTTTTTCCTGAAAAAAAAAAAAGCTGTGTCTATAGATTTTAAGACCCAATCTTTCAACCTGATTCAAAATCTAGGAGGGAAAATTTTTTGCTGTATTTATTTATTTATTTATTTATTCATTTATTTATTTGGAGATACTGCTAGCCTCACATCCGAGGCTGTTGCAGGAAAGGGGGTATCTTCAAGTAGGCGTGTACGTAGGTAAGGTTGAATCAGACAATGCATATGTTCTATACATTAACCATACAAGGGCTACTAAATGATAGCAATGATAGAATTTCTTTACCGTCTAACCGCTGAAGTCTCAAAGATATTACAAATGAGCATTTTAAGAATAGTTGTCATCCAGGAGTAATTATATTATGTTTTATTCGTCTGATAATTGTTTTAAGAGAACCCTTGACAAAATGCAATAATTCGTCAATCAGCGTGGTTTCTACCATATAATAGTTTCTTCGCAGCTACAATAGTATTCAATTTTCTTCGATGCAAGATGCACTTTGATCCCAGGCTGGGGCTCAGCCAGGTACGTATTATTTTCTATGGGGAGCTGGAGAGGGTGCTCGATTCCTTTTTATTCGTGGGATACCGACCAGTGAAATGCAAAATGCCTGTGTACTGGGTGACGTCTGCGCACGTCAGCCAGTACACCCAGAAGGGGTCAACCAGGTGGTCGACTTTTTCTGAGCCCTTCGCCACGGCGTCACTCATATTCATTAAGTGGTTTTGGGGCGTGAAATCCCCAAAATTATTATTATTATTATTATTATTATTATTATTATTATTATTATTATTATTATTATTATTATTATTATTATTATTATTATTATTATTATTATTATTATTATTATTATTATTATTATTTAGAGAGGCAGGGGCAGTGAGCTTCTCCTGAGTACATGCTGCCGTGTTCCTTGCCCGAGGTTTATGTTTTTCTTTACTTTTTGTACTTAAAGGCTTAGCCAGCTAGGGCACCAATATCTGTCACAATTTAATGGAAAAGGTATTTTCTTCTCAATCAGTTCACTCTCAATTGTGCAAACTCTTGTACCAATGTACCATCGATCTACGGGACATGCCTCCGACATCAAGCAGTGATATCGCTCGGGGAGCTTTCAGGGGCATCTTGCCTTACTTTTACAAATGTTGCTCACTTTGTGCCAATGCGCAAATAGAGATGCTCATAGCGAAGAGCACGAGGATAAAGCTCCGAGCCAATCGTGACGCGCCTTTGTGGGAGTCAACAGGAAGCCGCTTCTCGTCCCATTTACGCGCTCTACCTATGTCGACCCTAGTAGGCACAATACTCCCTCGCTTGACCCCTCATATCGATGGACTTCTTACAGATTGAGAAATCGATTTAAACACGGACCCTAGGCTTCAGAGATAAATTATAACGCAAACGCACACACTGAGGTGTGGTACATAAGGCCTTAAAAAAACACAAAATCTCAGCACACGTAACGCCAGACGTGACAATTCATAGCTCCTAATCTTTAACGACTTGCTTTAATTTAGTTGGGCCATGCTTTCGTCAGTACGGCGGTGAAATTAACGGGGTTATTGAAAAGTCACAGCTTTGCCGCAAAGGCGAAGCAATGGACGCAATAGTAACAAATTGGAAGGTCACACGAAGAATGACAGGCAGATAGAAGCGTGCCCCGCGTTTCTCACGCACAAATGACACACGAAACGTACTCACAGGTACGAATGAACGCGAATGAGCGTCTTAATTGTTACTTCGCTGTGTCTGAAATGCGCGCCCTTTTCACAAACGAAGACTTTGTAGCGAGTGCAGTGACTTTTGTGCGCCCGGTAGCTGAAACGGAATCATTCCGGTGAAAGCCCAAGCCGTATGATTTTCCCCACCACAAGATAAGTGCGCTCACGTGTGAGCATTCACTCTCCTCCCCCATCTCCTTGGGGCAAAGTACGCGTGAGAGTTGAGAGTGCGCGCCACCGCGACGTTACGATCTAATGACGTGCGTTCATTGCACCATCTCACTGGTAACACTGAAAACATGATAATTTCTCGAGATGGCCATCGCCAGCGGTAAATCGTAGATATAAATAGCTTGCCGTTTCACCGTTGAAAGAGGTGCTCCTTCATGGCTTAGTGGCTAATGACTTGCACTCAGAAGCAAAAGGTCGGGTGTTCGATTGCGCGCGCCGGAATCTTTTTCTGAATTACTTTTTTCTTGCGTTTTCATAAAAATACGTATACATATACGGTGAATGACACCGACGTCGACGCTGACGCCGGCAGCAAAATCCTGCCGAGAGTGTCCATATAAATGCTATCGCAGTAAAAGTATATGGTTTACTTCGAGAACGTCATAACAAGTGATGCTGCATAGGCAGCTGCAGGTGGTGGGCAAACGCCGGCTTTAATTTGATTTTACTTTCACACGTACTGTTCATGTAACAAGTTAGTTATATTTATTTGAAAGCAATGATTGTACATAACAATATAAGGAGCTATGAGTCCGTGGCGCTGCTTGGAGGGTGATTATTCTGGCAGCTGTTTTCTGCGGCATTTGCGTCTGTGCGATCATTTATTTTGTGTATGTACAGCTGTGTCTTCACAGGCCCGGCGAGAAATCATCGATACTCAAGGCGAAACTTGTTGGTGATGCTTGAAAGTGAAGTGACGTCTAAAAGGTGTCCTGGTAAACAGCTCCGTCATCTGAAAAAGCAAAATTAATAGAAAATATAGCTCCCGAAATAAACACTACGAAAGCACAACAGCGAAGCCTGACAAGGATTGTTTGTGGCTTCGGTGCCTTCAAAATTGCTTCCCTAATAATTGAGGGACAAAAATAGCACGAAAAACATGGTGAGTAGATGCGACGCACTCAGCAGAATGTACGAAGATAAGAATTAGTTGTTTCGGCTTCTTTCATTAGATGTTGCATCATTTCTTGAAGGGCAACTTAAATATCATGAAAACGTCCTCAAAAGTTGAAGGATAAAACGTGGTGACGCTTTAGAGTACGTAATTATCAAGAAAACTGGTATGAGTGGTGGCTCCGAGTGGCCAAGATGTGTGCTCACCATTCAGGTCGCCTTTGGCCATCTCCTCCGCTAGCCAAGTGGTTACAGGCTGCCTGTGAGACGGGCAACATTACATTAACATTCATTCTTTCAATTGGCACAATACTATTTCTTATATACTGCAGTCGTCGTAATCAACTACCGCATGGGTAATAATCAAGTTAACGTGCGATTGCCTTACGCAATCTCTAGTTGTAAAACTATGAATGAGTGGGCAAATTATGGTTATCTAAATAGGTCGACCACAGTGAACCAATTAATTTTAACCTATATAAAGCTAGTCAATTTTCAACAGAAATATAAGTTAACATTCTGGTATGTATGTGATACAGAATGCTTTAATTTGAACATTGTCCATATCCCTCAAATGGGGGCTGAACAAACTTATCTGAAGACTCAACAGCACATTTGAACAGTTGAAGTGCCAACAAATATATTACAGTAAAAAATTCAAAAAAGAAAAAGTTTACGCTGGACGTATAAAGCTTAGTAAAGAGCTAAGCTGATTGACTTGATATGGCTTTTAAAGGCCAACTCCAGCGATGTTTTTACAATGTCAGGGTTATGGTGGTTCTGTGTTCCTGAGACGCTCTTGTCACACGCCCAATAGCTGAAATGCTGAGCAAGTTAGAGAATATTTTTTAATAAGCAAAAAAGCACAATAACGAAACCGAAACCCAACTGAGCCCACAGTTTACGTATGACGTCACGTTTGGTAGGAACATAGAATGGGAAGTTGTACAAGGCATGCTGGTCCTGCCGGCGTGGTGTATGAAAACTGAATGCCGGGTCGAGCAGACGCTGAGCAGAGAGAGCGCCCCGAGCGTCAGCTAACATGTCCGAGACTGACAGTCTATCAGAACTGTCGGACAGCGATGACTCTGACGCAAATAATGCCGTTACCTCGCCGTTTTAGGGGCAAAGCTCCTTAAGCCGTGGGCCATGCGTTTCCAATGTTTGTAGTAGTAGTAGTAGTAGTAGTAGTAGGTAGCCGCCTCTCGTTCAGTCCTTGCAATGTCCGCTGAATGGCGGTACTTGCATATGATGAATATATCATGAAAAGATGTAAGATGGAGTGTTCACTGAATTGACGGATTGACGGATGGATGCACGGAAGGACAGATGAACAGATGCACGGATGGACAGACGCATTGACGGATGGACTGATGGACAGACGGACGGATTGACGTACGGACGCTTTGCCCCACTCATCATCATTCACTCTGCGAATATGCTGTGATTTTTTTGATCGACCCTACGCCACAACGGCCAATCGCTGAACAAGCCGAGCAACTGGTGTTGCAATATCGCGACGAAGGGTAAGTCTTCCATGTGAATGATTAGTCAATGTTTTGTTATTACATGAAAAAACATGACGTTGCTACACAAGTGCACTTGTGGTGACTGCAGGACAGCGCTCACCGACGAGAATGTCTGTTGCCCACCAATTCCTGCTGTACGGGGATCACTAAATGAATTGCAGCCCAAAAGCTTCAATCAAGGGAACGCTGTCCTAATAGGACTCCGGCGAGAAATGATCGGAACACACGCGTGCCGTTTTACTCGGTAACCAGTTTTCCCGCCTGATCACACTGATCCACTTCTCACGGAGGGCAATGTCACGAGTAAAGTTGTGATAGCAAACACTCTGCGTCTTCTAGGAGCGGTTTGTGTAGCGCACAACGCAACATCAACTACCACCCATCGCACACCTATCCACAGGGAACACGCTAAACCACCAAAGCGCCGGCCCAACACCTCGGAAGAAGGAAGAACACCATCGCCGTCGCCTTATGGCCAGCACAGTAAACGCTGCAGTGGCCAAAGTTAGCGATGCTATCGACTGCGTCACTTCCGTTGACATGCCAAACGTGACGACGCACAGACAGTGTTGCCAATAATTATGGTAAGCCAGGTGAGCCGGCCGTTTTGAGGCAATCTTTAAAATTCGTTTGCAAACAACCAGAGTATCTCTCAAGCCTGTAATTTAGCATAAACGACGGTAATGTGTAAAAAAAAAGTACCCATCGAATTTCACTGATATCTATTGACCTTGAAAAATCGCTGAAGTTGGCCTTTAAGCTGTCCTTTTTGGCTGATGCTTTCACTGGCGTCTGTGGCAGCTCCGGCAGAAGTGCACGCCCTTTGTCCGAGACTTGTAAGCAACGGCGCGTCTTTTTTTTTCTCTTTTTTTTTGCGGACACCTGACGTTTTGTCTCGAGCTTTGAGAGCTTTTCTCTTAAAATATACATTTTGTACCAGCGTAAAAATAGCGAGTTTGCTGTTCCAAAGGGCTGAGATAGCGTGACCTATGGTTCCCCGTATACAGAACTATGTCGCTCAGTTGCAGTGTTCTTTCTCTTTAGAGCGGGAATTGACTGTCGCCGTTGGCTACACCCAACTTTGCCCATTCTTCGTTTCGCTTTTGCTATGCTACTCATCACTTGAATACACGTTAAAATGTATATATCAATGTTTTTTAGGGTAAACCTAATCTAAAAAAAAAGACATTGGTAAATAGGCATGACAGCGCTCGCTCTTGCCGAGTGGCGCGAGTTCTAAATTTTCTTTCATACTCATCTCAGCGGAATTCACGTGGTTTCTGAGGCTCGAACGCGACGTCATCTTCCTGCTCGCTCGTGCAAGTACGTCGGCGCACTGATTCAAACGTCCTGCATCCTTCAGTAGAATGAATGAGCTGTGACTTTTACTGAAATGGCGATTCTTGGCCGCTGTTTGGGAGGAGGTGGGAAAGGAATATGGGGATTAAAGGGTGACGATGAGGTACTTTGTTTCACGGCTTCTCAGAAGTGAGTCGACCTCTCCTCCACCATTCGAAATAGGCCACTTGAACTAAATATATTGCGAGAGTTTTCTGTGAATCATGGTTAGACCGTAGAGTTGGCATGCCGGCGTGCAGCAGATGTTGAATTTTCCGTCTGCCTTTTTAGAAAGCTGCGCATGTCCAAATGAGATGTTCTAAACCTGCTTGGCACAGCGTCTGGCAGTGTGTGCATCGCTTGTACTCGAAGGTCGAGTAGCTTGCTGCCATTTCTTTAGTATGTGTGGTGTGTATGTGGAACCTGTTTTTTTAGGGGTGAGGCTCTTTATGGCGTGACCCGTTCGTCTCCCGTTATCGTTTGTAACCCCCGGTGGCACATACCCGAGAGAGCGGGTATGTGCGACAGGGAATAGACTTTTAGGGGCGAAGCTCCTTAAGCCATGGGTCATGCGTCCTCAATGTACGTATAGTAGGTAGCCACCTCTCGTTTAGTTCCTCGAATGCCCACCAAGATGGCGGTACTTGTATATAATCAATATATGATGAAAAGATGCGAGATGGTGGTACTTGGAGTGTTCACTAGACGGACGGACATACAGACGGACAGACGCACGGACGGACAGACACATCGACCCATGGTTGGACAGACTGACGGATGCACAAACGGATGTATGGACGCTTCGCCCCACTCATCAATAATCAGTCCGTGGATAAGCTGTGATTTTCTTAAATTCGTGTTGATGAGTAGTACAAAAAAGTCAACCGAGGGAACGCCAGGAGACAGTGAAAGAAGAAAATATCTACAAGGGTGAACTTCTTCTTTTGGTGTTTATTGCTGCTCCCGTTCCTAGTTTTGCCGTTAAATGTGTACCAAGATGCCCAGAACCACTGGCAGCCTCTAACGAAATGAGAGGACCACCTCTGTTTGAGAACAGCCTGCTTGAAATAATGCTTCACGTTTTGCGGATGAATGTTACCATAACGAATGTGACTGACTTTGATAAGTCGTGAACGAGTCATCGAAGACTCCTACGCGCACATAGGTTGATTGAACAGGCTATCGATGACTGTAGCATATATCCTTAAGCGACAATATAGGTGCACTATTCGAAGAAAAAAATTCTATAGAAAAAAGCGGCCACCACGCTCGAGTGAACCTTTTCATCTCCGTCCTCTATCACGCTGTCACACTCGCCCTTTTCGTCGTGTTCCTTCACTGGTGCAAAAAAAAAAAAATAACCTACGTGGCATCGAATGATGTGTACTGTCTCGTATGGCATTTGCTCGTGGTGACCGCCTTTTCGTTGAAGATTTCTCCCCTAAAACGGTACCTTTCTATCGTTTCTTGACGTTCATGCCACTGTCATCGATAGCATGTTCAATTAACTTCTGTGGGTTAAACAGCCTTCTATATTTCTTCTAACTTGCGCCTGAGGTCACTAAAACACCACGTGTGATTCGGTAGTCACATGGTATTTTTTTAAATTCGTGTGCATTAAGAAACGGTTGCGTGAAAATTTATCCTGGGTATTTAATAAATATCCGACATTTCTGAGCAAGTGCTACAATTTCTATACGAAAGTTTTTTTCGCTAGAGTAACCATTCAAAACGTTCATTCTCCAATCTTTGTTAATTAATCATTTTGGCGGACTGGACAAAATACCATGACGTGTTTTGCGAAAATTCCGAGCAGTCCTGCACCAATTCGAGATGCATAGCGCCCGTTTGTTTTAAAAATACTCAATGCTAGCTACCTGAAACGTCTTTTATATGCACACGTGTGTGTCAATAAAGATGACAAGACGTGAAAAACCCTACATTTTTAACAAAAGTGGAGGCGGAGCAAAGAAGCAATAGGGGGAACTTGTGGCCCCATTCATGTGCGAAAATTTTTTGCTCTGATAATGAAAAATAGTTTGCTTCATAATCTGAATATTTTGGGAGGACGTTGTGGTCTGTGTTATAAAAAAGGTATCCTAGCGTAATTAAAAGTATAATATGAAATATCCGCCTTTGCTTACCCTGCGTTGTGATATGATTCGTCGGACGACGCAGGGCTTAACCTCTTTCCAAATCCTCTGGCCGTGGATAGGCTGATTCTCCGAATATCCCGTTTGTTCCTGGACATAAAAATGAGTGATCAGTTTAAGAAGCTCGTCAGTCAGTGAGTCAGTCATTCACTTGACGAGCCACACAACCCACTGGTAAGCAGAATTATTGAACTTATTGTGCATCTCTGTGTTTATTCGTTCCTTGAAAAGAATCTGCCACATTTTTTTTTGGCTGGCATAAATAAATAAAGCTTATTGCTTTACAAATCTACTACCGCAAAACTTTTTAGAATACACCACGCACGAGCAGAGTTACAGGGAATTTGTGGCTCATGCCAAGTGCTTCCTCTCTCCTCTCGTACCAGTGAGCCCGCTGACAGATACGTGAAGAGAGAGAGGTGGAGTGGATTCGACAAGGAACCAGAAGGTGCGTTCAATCTTCAGCGCCCATCAAGACCTTGAGCAGTTACTTCTTCAGTGCGCGGCTTCCTTTCAGTGTGATCGCGGGCGATTGGACGAGCATCCCGCGGAGGCTGCCGTAACTATGCAGTTCACGATCCTCAAATTAGCTAATAACCTAAGAATTTGCGTCTACGGTGAGGTTATTTGGGTTTATGAGATCATCTTAAGAAATGAGTGAACAATTTACAGCTGAATTTTTACTCACATGTTCTCAGGAGCCACGACTATCGATCGGTGGCATTTTATAGTCGTGGTGAAAAAATTGTTTCAGATCCCTTAAAGTTATCAGCACTCGCAAGAAAGCGAGAATAGAAAAGTACATGGGAATTCACGATTTTTTTATGGGGGGAGGTGCAGGATCCTGGGCGCTAGATATGGCCCAGAAACAGATACGTTGAATATGGCATTCAGTGTCTAGGCTACACACGACCTGAGGTGCTCTCGGTCACGTGTATAACTCGATGTGAATAATTTCGTCTTATTCACTTTTACAAGAAAGGTAGCGGCTCAAGAAGGCGCCTGTTTGCGAACATGACATGTAGCTGGTCGTACAAAAGTACAGTATGGACTGTGAAACAGAGGTTCAACATGATCGTTAAGGCCAGTAGTATGAAGGTTTCGGCTAATGATTTTCACAAACGAGCGCTCTGAAGGGGGCACGCCGCCGAGTTCTGGCGACAGTGACAGTGCCAGGCGCCAGAGGGGCGCCTGGGGTTCAGCGCTAGAGAAGAAATATCAAGCATCCAAAGACTCCACGGGCGTGCCGTCTCTCTCCCTCGGAAGCGTATAGTTTCGCCGACCGACTTCCTCACATCGGCCGCCAAGCAAGCCCTGTAAAGACCTGGAAGGAAAGGGGCGTGGTGATGTAGAGTTGCGTCATCTGTCGCGGACGCTCCTCAAAACGTCTCGCTCTTTCCCCAGCCTTGGCTGTGCATCGCGCGGACGAAACGATTGGAATTTTCCGGGATCTAGCGCAAAAGGTATTTAAGCGAGCCGCGGAGAAGGGAAAGCAGGAGAAGACAGTTTACGCCAGTGTGCGTAGGCAGGAGATGAAGGAGGTTTTGCGCAAGTGTGCGAAGGGTCATTCCGCCGTGTCAGCGAAGGCTTTGGTCCTCAGTGACATGGCAGGTATTGAAGAGGGTTTCCACCTGAAGGGTGAAGGCTTGTGTTACAAGCAGAAGAGTGTGTCTACTGCCAACGAGCGAAGACGTGTTGCAGCAGCTGCGCGTGGGAAGCCAACGTGTTACCGGCAAAGAAGTTTGGTGTTTGGATAGCGGCCAATTGAAGACGCGAGGTTTCCTGGAAGAGAAACTTCGGGGGCAGCGGACCGACAACAGCGCTGGACTTTGAGTGAGTGATTCTTGGAGGAGTATCATTCAGACTTTGTTCCAAGGACTTTGGACTGAAATAGTTTTCGAACTTTTTAGTCTTTAAGTGTTTTGGTTGTTCGATGCATGTGATTGCATTGTGGCGCGTATTGTTGGTTGTGTCCGTTGTTTCGAGCGTAGCTTTGATTGATTGATATGTGGGGTTTAACGTCCCAAAACCACATATGATTATGAGAGACGCCGTAGTGGAGGGCTCCGGAAATTTTGACTACCTGGGGTTCTTTAACGTGCACTCAAATATAATCACACAGGTGCACAGCATATTCGCCTCGCACAAAAATGGGGTGGCCACATTGAGGATTCAATCCCACAAACTGCGGGTCAGCAGCCGAGTCTATTAGCCACTAGACCACCACGGCGAGGCTAGCTTAACAAGCAGCAATATTATTACTCATTTTAAAAGACAGGGCGTGAAAACACGGACCCTAAAAAATAAGTGAACACACCACAAACGCCAACTAACAAATGCGAAGGCACACAACTGTGGGAAAGGAAGAAAGCACGAAAACTTATTTGTGAACGCCTATTCAATAGGCGTACCCATCAATTCCTTATGCATGTGGGTCTATGGGAAGTATAATTGTTGGGGTATTTCATAAGAATGTTTCTTTAAAGTTTAAAGAACACAATTTTTCATAATTTGGCTCTAATGTGCAGTACTGCCTTAAAGCCAAATAAACTTTAAGCGTTGCTCGTGGACGACACACGCAGAGTTCGTGAGCCAGATGTTAATGCGACACCATTTATCACACTTCGCCTAAAGACATGTGTGCTTGATTTTAGTCACTCGTTCTTTTGTTGGTTTCTCGTGAAGCGCTTCTCTTCTTCATTCCTTTTTGTTTTATAAGGCAGAGAAAAAACTCGAACATTTTATTTAGAGCAGAATTTTGTCATTGGCACAGGCCCCGTTAATTAGGGAGGTGATCACCGGGATAATTCCAAGGGCCGAAGTATCGGCCCCCCGAACTGCACCATGAAAGCGCGGACAATTTAGAAGTGGTCCTATTTGGCGCGCCAGCAGACGCCAGCTGTGGCCCAAAGAACGAGTCAGAGCTGAGAGTTGATAAACAAAACAAAATTATATTCTCAAATATGGCAGATTAAACTATACACAAATATGCACACTCGACAATAGTTTAATACGATATGTCACCAATCAAACAACGTACTACACAATACAATCAGCTACGCTCGAAAGCCCCGCCGCGGTGGTCTAGTGGCTAAGGTACTCGGCTGCTGACCCGCAGGTCGCGGGTTCGAATCCCGGGAATTCCCGGGAATCACATGGGAATATTGGGACGGTAAACCACACATTACAAACAAGAATTTCAAGCCACATAATTTGCCTGCAAAGCGTGCATCTTCGTATTATTAAGGCTTGCAACAATTAGGTGAATCAAAGTTCCTAGAGGCAGCGGATATAATAAATGTGGGAGAGAACTAACATTGCTTCTCGTAGGAGTTCAAGCTGCACAATTTGCCTGTAAAGCATTCATCTCTGCAGTAAACTCATAATGCAGATAATCTGAACCAAAATGCATCTGGAAATTTTAGAAGGTGTGACCACCTAACCTGTCAACAGACCTGCAACAATTTGGTGAATCAACGTTGCTAGAGGCAGCCGATATAAGAAATGTGGGAGATAACTATTGCTTCTTGTAAAAGTGCAAATTACACAATGTGCCTGTAAAGTGTGCGTCTCCACTGTAAATTTTATAATGTGGATAAGCCAAACCAAAACACACCTGGGAATTGTAGAAGATGAGATCACCAAACCTGTAATAAGACCTGCAACAATTTGGTGAGTCAACATTTCTAGAGGCAGCCGATATAAGAAATTTGGGAAAGGTCTAATACTGCTTCTCATAGGAGTTCAAGCTACACAATTTGCCTGTAAAGCATGCATCTCTGCAGTAAAATTCATAATGCAGATAATCTGAACCAAAACGCATGTGGGAATTTTAGAAGGTGAGACCACCTAACCTGTCAACAGACCTGCAAGAATTTGGTGAATCAACGTTGGTAGAGGCAGCCGATATAAGAAATGTGGGAGATAACTAATATTGCTCCTTGTAGGAGTGCAAATTACACAATTTGCCTGTAAAGGGTGCATCTCCGCAGTAAAACTCATAATCAGGATAAGCGAAATCAAAACACACCTGGTAATTGTAGAAGGTGAGACCACCGAACATGTAATAAGACCGGCAACAATTAGGTGAATCAACGTTTCTAGAAGCAGCGGATATAATAAATGTGGGAGAGAACTAATATTGCTTCTTGTAGAAATTTGAGGTACACAGTTTGCCTGTAAAGTGTGCATTACCGCAGTAATGGCCATAATGCGGATAAACCAAATAAAAATGCACCTGGAAATTTTACATTGGCAGACCACCATCCATGCAAGAAATTAGGTGTATCAGGACTGCTGAATATAGCCTAATTAGGGATGTGGATGAACACCCAAAATAACGGGTAGAGAAGGCAATTAAAGAGCGTAATGAGGCTGGTAGTTCCGTAAGGGTTCGAGGGACACACTAACGACTGAAATGAATGCGAGTGTGGTACAGCTATTGGTGTTTTCGTGATGTTTGCCTTGTGAGCTATCGTTGTAATGACTTGGCTTTACTGAGATTCTGAATGATCTTTGCACAAAAGTGGGTGAATTGAGTCAATTTTGGTTCGAACACTAGTGATGGACAAATGTTGTATTTCTAGGTACGTTTCTTTGTCTGCGAAACTGTGTTCGTTCATTCTGTGTTTCTCTGGGTTGCGCGTATGTCATTGTAGCTGACGAATTGATGTACTTATGCAGTGTGGTTTCGGGAGATAAGTATGCCTTGTATGTTTTTCTTCGTTTATGTGACGTGTCATTCTGCTGCTGTTTAAAGTTGCCGTGGAACCAACGTTTAGCTGAAGTCGTTAAATTCTTACATTGCGCGTTGTACTTTTTGGTTCGAGATCTGTGCAAAGTTGTAACAGCTGAACTACTGCATGCACGCCTGAATTATTTCATTGACGGTAGAATATTGCTGCTTGAGTAGTAAGTTCTTTGGCAAGCTACGATGAGTATTAGCAGTCGCGTGCTCTATTTTTTACTGATTCTCGAGGTGCAATGAGTACACGTATTCTGGCTGTCGAGCTTCGTGAGAGGGTGGTTCAATCCGAAGGTACAAGTGCCTTCTAAAAATTGTTTCATGGGGCGATAAGTGCGATACCGAAACGCATGCATATGTTTTTCTGTGTCTGTTGTTCTGCATATGTTGTTCTGCATATGTTCTGTTCTGTAAGGTTGCCATTAAAGCTGAGTTAAAGTTTATTGCAGCTGGACTCAATTACTTTACGCGATGCAAAGTCGTGTCACACGTACTACACATGCCCCGCCTGGAGAACGGCCTGGAAAACAGGCAGCTTTCCTGCGGTGTTTCTGTAGCCGTTGTGACAGTCTCCCACACAGCAATGCACAGAAGAGCTTTTTTCGCGCGTTTGACAGAGCAGTTCGCCATGAGAATTCACTGTATTAACCTCGTAGATAGAGTTTCTGTATATGCTACCTTTAGGTAGCATATCTAAAGGTAGCATATACATTAACTCCACTCGTAGATGCTCTCTGACCTCGTTCGCAGTGTATAATGTAACTGCATATGGTCCCTTATAATGTTACTCTAGCAGTGCAGAGCGCCCGCTGACCTCTATTAGGCGCGCCGCGCACCAGACCCTCCCTGTTTTGCCAGTTTCGCCGTGGATGGCACAACCTGTCCGTTTCAAAGCAGCAGCACATGAGGCGGATAGGACGGCACGCATAGGTTCACTCAGACTCACTCAGATTCTGATAAAGCTGTGAATCTGAGTCTTGTGAGTCCGGGGGAGCAAAATTTAGCTAAATCTGAGTCCCAATGATCCCTAAGCGTAAAACATATTTATTCAGTCAGTCTGAGTGAGCACCGTCATCGTCTTTCGTCGGCTCGAAAGGCAGTCAAAGCCGTTTTGCGCTTTTTGAGGACTACAGGCATATGTGAACACCTCTAACTTTTGCGTAGAGCCACCGCTGCATACGCGTCAACCCATGTGCACTGACTGACACTCCTTTTTTTTTTCTTTTGTCTCTTTCTCTTCTCCGTCCTCTCTCTCTCATCTTCATACTTCCCATTTCCCCAACGTAGGGTAGCGAACCGGGCATGTGCCTGGTTAACCTCTCTGCTTTCTCTCTTGTTGTTCTTCTCTTCCTCCTACCCTACGGTGGTGCCCCGCCGCGGTGGTCTAGTGGCTCAGGTACTCGGGTGCTGACCCGCAGGTCGCGGGATCGAATCCCGGCTGCGGCGGCTGCATCTCCGATGGAGACGGAAATGTTGTAGGCCCGTGTGCTCAGATTTGGGTGCACGTTAAAGAACCCCAGGTGGTCAAAATTTCCGGAGCCCTCCACTACGGCGTCTCTCATAATCATATGTTGGTTTTGGGACGGTAAACCCCACATATCAATCAATTACCCTACGGCGGTAACTATTTGACTTCAGCATTACCAATAGCCTTACTCCAGCTCGCGTTTGTATACACATCTACTCACACATATTTCAACGCCCTTGCGTTCATACACAAGCTCCATATTTATTGCTCAGAGGCGTGAGTTACGGGGTAGGGTAGAAGGCGCCCTGAGTGCCCACTCACAAACTCTTTCACAGGAAGTTCTTGATAAAAATATCTCGTGAGTCATTCCTTTCAGTAAAAATGACTTGTGACGACGTGAAACCACGAACGGGTGCAAAAGAGAACGAGAGCTTTTGAAAAAAGGACACAGGAGGCAAGTTGACATAACTAGAGTCATTCCAGGCAAAGCTCTGTCAATGTGGAGATAGAAGTATGTATGAAGAGAGATATGATCAAAGATAGACAACAAAAATACCGGGCTCTGGCAGACAGGTGGAAGAGCACATGAATAGATAAAGCAGAATTAGTCGCTGACCGTTACAACAAAGTACCGACAACAACGATTTCATCCTCGTTATCATACTAATTATCATCACAGCTATCAACCTGCCCCTGTTTATTGCAGGGAGCTTATGAAGAAAGACTGAGTTATGTGCAGTAACGAATGGAGCAATTCTTACTGACCTCATCATCACATGGTGCGCGTGTTAATATGAATATTAGAACGATGCTTGTTTTATATTGCTGGCGCCCCGTAAAAGTTTTAGGTTTCACCTTTCCAAAAACATATGTTGTAGTGAACTGTTCAGATCCAACCAACTTATCTAAGAGACTCGAAGCTGTCGGTATGTGAATAGTTGACTGCAAGACGGAAAGGTGCGAAGACTCTCATAACGTAAATAATATAGCCCTGCATTATATTTCGTTTTTTTACTTTTTTATTTACCCAAATTGGAAGGAAATTGCTCATGAAGGTGGCGTGCAGAGTGGAGTGGGCTGACTCAGGAGCTAGTGCGGGGCTTAAGTGAACTTGGCAACGGAGCATCCAAGAAGGCGCGCCAAATTCTAAAAGTAAGCACAGAAACTTTGGTTAATTGTGTTCTTGATGACGTTCGTTTTTTTCGCAGTGAGTGTGTTTATATAATATTTGCCGTGAAACTTGGTAATTTTGTAAAGAGAAGACCAACATCTAGCACATCTATCTAGATACTAGAAATGAAAGTGCTGTTCTGTGCGTACGTGAGGCATCAGCAGCGGGAAAATCGGATCAAGACAGCAGCAAAACAGCAGCAGTGGGTATGTGCGAAGGTAAGCACGCCAAGGGTAAGGTAAAGAAAAAAACAAGTCAAAAATTTTCGAAAGGTATGGACACAATGTTACCGAGTAGGATCAAATTTGTTTAAAATCTGGCAGTGTGTACTGTGCAGAGGGTTATTTCTGTCGGCTATGTTCGTAACGGTAGCGTTACAGAAATTTCTTGCAGGTATTAGTGTAAATGGGGGTTTAATTGGCTGTACTCACTTGAAATCCACGGGGTCAAAGTCATCATTCTCCAGCAAAAACGAAGTGTCAGAGTCAGCGCGCTTGCCAAATCCTCTGGCCGTCGATATCTTCATGTTACGAAAGCCTTTCTTGATTCTGCAGACAAGGAAAACTTAGTGGTCAACAGCACACAGCCAGAGAAATGGTAATTTTTCAATCAAGTGCATCTGCAACTTTTGCGCCTGCATTCATTCAGTATAGTTGCGCAACCAGGAAGCTTTTGTATATCCCAGCCTCAGTAATGGAACATGATGGGGGGAAAAAGATGAAAGGACAGCGATAAACGATAATGCAGCAACAGCTAGCATTCACCAAGCCACAATGAACAGTTACTTGCGTATATAGCATTTACGTTTGTGACGTAACTTTTACCATCGATACTATACCTGGCACCTACCCAAGCGAACTATATGGCCCTAGAACAGAAGTTACTAAGTTTACAGATTCGGCGCCATCCTTGCAGCAAACTACTTGGGCAATGAAGCTGCACTTGGTGCCCAGCTGCGCTCTCTAAGAAAAATCGAGCACCACAACTGGGTTCTAAATCGCTTCCCGTCCCCATTCGTGAAAACTGCATGCTCACACGGGCGGCTGCTGGGGCTCCGGGAGCCTGTGCAGTGCCACGTGGTGTCCTAGCAGGGCGGCGATAGCGGGCAGCGTGCCACGTTTGCCGAATCCGCGCGCCGTCGAGAGGCGCAGTTGCTGGAAGCCCCGGTGCTGGCGCTCGGGGGCGCTGCTCTCGTCAGCGGCCTGGCCGCCGCAGCCCACGAGCACCGCGCTGGCCAGCAGCAGCAGTAGGCCTGCTCGTGCCAGGGCCGCCATTGTTGTCTATGGACGTGTGCGTTCTGCAAGGAATGGCACCCATACATCCCCGGTTATTTCATTTTTCATGATGGCACGACTTGACAGCATATATATTGCTACGGTATATATAACCCGGGCCGCCGTGGTATGTGCCGGTGGTGAGGGAGAGAAAGACGAGGTTTTCTGTGGCCTGAGGACTCTACTTCGGATTGATCATTCTCATCCTCACTCTGTAAATAAACCCACTCACCCATTCGGTGAGCACGAACCACACGACCTTCAACGCCTTCTTTCATGCTCGCACAGAGGTGGCACTTCTTTGCTCCGGTAGCACATATGTGACAGCGTGAAAAATGCACGATAAGACACCGTAAAACCCCATACGTATACCCAATCCACATCTGAAACATAGAATGGAGGAAGTACAGTTAATGAATTTGAACCAAGTAAATAAAAAATTAAGAAAATCGAAACAGGGCGCAAAAAAATTGACGTTCTTCGGGGAAAGAGTCATGTTTTCACAAAAGAGATTACATTTTCGCGTGCCAGCGAATAGTATCTGCACCGGCAAGATTATTTACAAATACTTCAGACTACTTTGACAATACATTGGGTCACTTAATTTAATGTAAAAAACTGCGAATCATAATTTTACAGTAGGTTCAGTGAAGTAAAACAAGAGAAGCGACAAAAAGAACATAAATTCGAAGAGAACGACCCGCTGTACCGGCACGCATTTGTCTCATCCCTTGCAAGTAAACCTCTGTGTTTACCCTTTAATGACCAAAACTTAGTTTCAATGCGCAGCATCCAGAAAACTTTGGCATGCATCAAGGTCTCGCAGAAGTATCCCATTTCACCACACTAGTAAGTCACTTGCGCACATCTTTCGTTGCCACTTCTCCGACGCTCGAACAAAACACGAAAGAAGTAGAATGCTCCCACTTCTACGTGAATTTTTAAGGTTCAATACTCTCAATAGTCTTTGCCTCTTTCCGCAGAAGGTGCCACAAATATCATGCAGCAGGTTACGCCTGCGGAAAAAAAATATTCTGGGGGTTGTGGCTCCACAGCAACACTGAGCACCAAAGTGTTAAATACCGTTTACAATTCTCTTAACAATATGTCTAGGCTCAGTCTCATTTGTGAAAGAGTCAATACGTATGCACCAAACAGTTAATAAATAGTGTAGGGCAACCAAACAGAAAGTTAAAGGTTCTTTATTTGTCGACGTAGATCGTATGACTCTCCGAAAGCTACCATGTGTATCTTTCTTCCCTCGCTTCCTTTATCTCTTTCCTCCCCTTTATCCCTCTTTCCAAGAGCAGGGTAACAAGGCGGACGTGCATCTGGTTAATCTTTCTGCCTTCTCTCTTTTGTATGTCTACCTTCCTTCTATTTTATTTTTGAAAGGGTAGTCTTTCCTTTTCACTTCCTTCTTTCACTCTCTTTGTATTCCTCCAATGATGCTGCACCGTGATCCCTCATGAGTAGACAAAATATAGTGTCTTTCCACTCTTAAAAACACCACCAGTACAACTACTTTTTACACAGTAACTGTGTGGTACAAGTTTCTTCTTTTGAGACGCAATGGAAATGTTTCGTCTCTGTGATTCTGTCTGTCTCAGAGTATTTTTGACTTTGACAACACCTCAGAAGCAAGTAAGCAGCAGCACTCGTTTGTATCATTTGAAAAAGTGAGCAAGTGAAGCAGGTGACATGATGACACCTAAGTGATTTTTAGATTTTGTCATCTTGCTCATAAAAAGAAATCGCACGTATACGGTCACCGTTAAGTTTGTTTCCGACCTCGCGCCTTTACTCTTCTTATTCTTCATCACTAAAGAAAAGAGGCAGAAAGGCGTTGAAATGATGTTTACGTGTCTGAGTTCTTACGCCAGCATTTCCAGCATATCGAGTGGCAGTAAACTGCACGTTGGGGAATATTTAACAATGTGTTTTAATGTATTACCTCGCCGGAGACAAACGCATAATAGCGTGACGTCTTTTTACTAAAAGCAGTTTTTAAGTACTGCCGTGCCCAGGGATACAATTAGATTGACTCGGCTTCCTTTGGGCCTTGACATGTTCCCCTATGGAGAGATCCATCGATGGCCAGCCGCTCCAGGAAATCAGTGGAACTGTACTTTAGGCGGCGTCCTTCAGAACATGGACAGCTTTCTCGAGAAACTGCTATCTGGCCGTGCTCTCTGTAATTCGTTTCCGAAACATTTGCAGGTCTTAAGCTGCAATCATTACTTCTCCGCCCCCGTGGTCAGCACGATCAAAGGCCAATTAGCCCAAGAGACTCCATTAGCGAACCACTCGGTGAAGAAGTCGGTATGGAATTCTGCCCAAGTGTGGCACGTCAATTTTTAACGCGGCATGCGTCTTTACGTGCGAGCGTTGCTTGATCCTCTGTCGTGAGTTCAATCGGAGTTGATGCACCGAGCATTAAGGTCACAGCGTCATCTTGAAGATTTATTAAGACACATTAGTCCACACTGCTGATATATTACGTTTTTTCCATGTCGTCTCGTCCGCATAGATTTCTGAGAAAATTACGCACGAACGCACGCACACACGCGCGCACACGCACACATACACACACACGCACACACACAAAAGATAAAAAAAAAGAAACGATGGTAGTGGTTTGACCTTTCGTGATGCTTTGTGCTATATCACGCCTCCGTGATTCATTACTTGGTGTGTCTAATATATGAACAAATCGGCACTAAAATTTTGACATACCAAAGTACAATCTGATTGACAGATCCACCGCAGTTGGATGTAATAAAATAATTTTTACGTCCTAGGGTTCTCCAATAGCGAGCACATTTTAGTACTTCACATTTCTGAATGGCAACAATATGTGTTACTATTATGTCTTGGGTTCTGCTCTCAAGCATTATAAGATTCTTTTGCCTATCTTTATTTTTTCAACGTTTGCATCTCAAGTCTGCTCATCTAAAATGCTTCCCAACGATCGAAGTAAAAGTTCTCCCATTTTTTTTCTTTATTCGGTGATTATTTTTATTAATGATCCCCCATCTTGTCTATAGCGTGAGCTTAGCACTATTTTTTTATTGCTCACCCAGGACATTTCTGTCAAAAATGAATGTGACAAAAAAGAAACGAGAGATGTTGCGTGGTGCTACAAAGTAACTACTTCAGCGGGAATCGAAAATCAGGATGGTAACTGACAGATGGAAACACGTAGTGGAATAATCAGAGTGAACCTTACCACCATACAAATTGAAAAGTCATTAAGTCGAGAGTAAACAGACGTGCTTAGTAAAGGCCTAAACGTTTGTCCAACCAACAACACAATAAACAAATTCGAGCTTTACAGAGACCTCACCGGGTTTTCACGACGAATGCGCATCAGAAATTTTTTTCCCGAAAGGGACGGAACAGTAATAGTTACTACAGCACTTAGGACTCAGTCTACCTGGACCCCTGAACCAGAAAAAGCAGTAGAACCTGACTTATATTTTCAACCTTTTACTACGGAAATAATAAATCAACATAAACAGCAAGGAAACCTAAGCACTTGACTGCTTCAGAAAGCCGCATTATTTCTAACCTCAAGACACGTGAAGACATTACAATTAGGGAGGCTGATAAGGGAGGAAGCATAGTAATCTGGCCAATAGAGAAGTACAAGCACGAAGCTTACAGACAACTAAACAAGCCTGAACACTACCGTAAATTAAGCAACGATACAACAGAACAATACACACTCGCAATTACCAACCCGCTTAGATCTCTTTTGGCGGGCGAACTGACAACTCCATCAGAATTCAAAGTTTTAAATGAAACAGCAAAGCAGCAGGGCGGTTCTATCTCCTTCCCGAAATTCACAATATACCATCGACAGAATCATACAGTACCAATATTCCAGGGCGCCCAATAGTATCAAACAACAACACACTAACCGAGACCCTCTTCATATTTCTAAACCACTTTCTAGGTGTAATTTCAAAGTCATTACCGTCATTTGTGCGAGATACACCCCACTTATGAGAATAATAGAGAAAATAATAGGAACGGTACTCTACCACAAGACGCCATTCTCGTCACACTAGATGTCACCGCTTTATATACGAGCATTCCTATCCCCAAGGGTTTAGCTTAAGTTGAGCTAACCTTATCCCAACAGAGCGAACAACATTGTACTGAAGTATATTTAACACTACTAGAATTAGTACTGTCACATAACTGCATTGAATTCGAGGAAAACTACTACCTTCAAATACAGGGAACACGCATGGGCAACCCATTTGCTCCCACCTATGCAAATATATTCATGAGAATTCTGGAAACCGAATTCCTGTCTCACTGTGAGAACAAGCCTCACACATACCTCCGGTACATAAATGACATATTTATAATATGGGGACATGGACAGCACAATCTAGATAAATTCACTTCATTCCTAAACTCATTCCATACAACAATAAAGTTCACCTCCGAAATCTCGGCTTAGCGCATCAACTTTCTACACACGACCATATATCTTAAAAATGGTGTACAAAGAACCACTTTGTGTAAAAAAAACTATTTGACAAGCAACAATACTTAGATTATACAAGCCACAATCCGAGACACGGTAAACAGGGCATTTTCAAGAGCGAGGCAACAAGGTTACGCCACATCTGCGTAGAAAACGAGGACTACGTAAACAGACTTACCGCCCTAAAAGGAACACTATCAGACAGAAACCATCCTAACACATTTCATGACAAAGCTTATACGGACACACTGGAACTGGACCACAATAAAGCACTTAAACCATGCTCTAAAATTGCAACAACACCAACTACATATGCCTCTTCTCAATGCAAAGTTTTCCAATGCACTCCCTAACATAAACAACATCGTCACAAAATACTACCCAATTCTAACGACCAACCAGAAACTTAAGAAAATATTACCCGAACCACCTAAGGTCACCTAAGACGCAACGCTAAACTTAAAGACATGCTTGTTCACGCAAAACTTAAAGCAAAGACTGGAACAATGTCTAGTCCCTGTG